TTTACATGTCAAAAGTCTAAGCAGCCTGTGGGTATATTTTTGTCGCTATTGGTGATTTTACAGGACTTCTGACCTCTCTACAGGTTGATGTTGTATGATCAGGTCTCGCCCACCAGTTTAATTACAGTTATACCAGTTTTTCGTATTGTTTATCAGTAAACCACTTTGTTCGAGTCTACGAGATCCAGAGTTATATCCCGATGTTAGGAGTTTTCAGTCTGGCTTTCTTTCTTTATTTCATCTTCGTTATTTTAATGTCGTTTGGTAATGTGATTGGAACTACGCAGAATCCATACTCCTCCAATGGTTGAATGTTATCCAGATTATCCAGATTATCCCAGTAATAACCAAATTGTGAGATATGACAATCCAGACTATTTAAACTTTTAGACGTATACAAAAACCTGTTAGCTCGGTAAGTACAATAATAAAAACAATCCCAGGTGAATAACCATATATTCTGTGTCATTCCCGTGTTTCCAGAACGCGTAGAAAGATTATCACACCTGTCCAAGAGCAGCAGTATGTCTATAAAACTTTATCACACCTGTCCAAGAGCACCAATATGTCTATAAAACTTTATCACACCTGTCCAAGAGCACCAGTATATCTATAAAACATTATGAAGTTGGCCAAAATAAACATGCACTGTTCAAAGAGTCTAGGGGTGGTGGGTGGCCGAATGGTTAGTGCGTGCGCGTTGTATCATAAGGTATGTCATTGAGTCAAGTGACGTGGTTTCAATTCCCCGCTTGTATGTGACAAGGAGTAGGCTCGCCTGTCTAACCAAGTGGGATTGCTCCGGGTCCTCCGGTTTCCTACCACTGCTAAATCCCGAAATGACCGAAGTGTGTGTCGAATGGATGGTAAACCCCATTTCTCCCTCTCTTCAAGACACAACAAGTGAACTCGGTTGATCGACTGTTTAATTAAGGACAGGAATACTCTTATATTGACAGCATGGTCGATGATGGAGTTTTCTTTAACATATCTTCACATTTAATTCCATGTTTACGTATATAAACGAGGTGATGTGTTATTGAGATTAGTGATGGAATAATCACTGTAAATCTTTGTTTCTAAAGACGAAGCGGAAGTTGGTTTGTTTACTTCCTTTATGGCTAACTGTATCGACAATCCATTATATTTCAACATTTCATACCACAGTAGATCATCTCAAACACTTGCAAAACAAATTGTGCAATATGAACATGAATCCATTCAGGCTGGTTTATAGGACGTTGAAGTTTAAGCAGCGAAGACAAATCGTCATTCCACCAGGCATATAAACTCAAATAACCTACAACTGATTCTATAGTTTTACGTCCTACTCAATGATTATTTAATATTTAATACGAACTCAAACTGATTATTTAATACGAACTAAAATTGATTAATTTAATTTTAATACGAACTCAAACTGGTTATTTAAAGTTACAATTTCATATTTTTTAAGAAAGTCAAAACATAATTATTTCTATGTCCTTTGCTCAATAGGTTGTCAACTCACTATTATACGATCATAGGTGTCATTCTCATTTACACCCGAAATAATAACACAATTACCCCCCTTGTTTTCTATTCTCCACCATGGAGTATTTATCTCCAAACGTTTGAATTTGAAGATAAAAAATGGTATTTTTGCCAATTTCTCAACTGGCAATAGTGAATTATTGGATTAATAGGATTATTCTTTAACAAGGTAGGACTGTTTATAGATACCATCTATTTTAAAGCTTTATTTTAATAAATTTTAAAAATATAACTTAAAAATATAAAATTGCAAATTTAATACGAACTCAAATTGATTATTCTGTATATAACACGAACTCAAATTGGTTATTTTATATTTAATTAATATAACATAACCGAGATATCAAGGTTGAAAATCTCATGACATGGATTCCCACGTGCACGTAAAATTAATAAGGTTCACAGTCTAACCTCGTGGGTTTTATGTGGGTTCTCTCGTTTCCTCTACGGGCCCCAATTTTTAGAAATATTATTATTTATAATCGAACCATATATTAGTACCAAAATGACCTAGTTTGGGTTGAGTGGGCAGTAAACCCATTTTTCTGTCTGCCCGACTGCTAATATAACTTCTATTTGAGAATCTCTTTCTGTCTGACTATAAAACCAATAAGTTTCCGATCTATATTTTAAATCAAAGGTTTATTTTTCAATTATAGCTTAGTCAGTGTAGGTTGAAATTAGCCAATCACTCTAAACGTAGGACGTATGTCGTCTTTAAATATGCATTTAAAACCGAGATTTACCCAAGGAATATTTTGACCGGAAATATCAGTTTAACTGCTGTGTTTTACCGCTTCGTCTGAAAGATGTTTTATTTAAGATGCATATTAAGAGCTGTCTGTTCTTACTATTATAGGAGAGAGAGACAAACAGAAATAGGGTTTATCGTCCACTCGACACAAATTAGGTCATTTCGTGACTAACATGGTTCAATTTTATTTCAATAATTCTCTTACGCGTAGGGGCCTTTCTTTGGCAGTGGGAGGAAACCGGAGGACCCAGAGAAAACCCACGGGGTTGGACAGACGACCCTACTCCTTGTCACGTACGACCGGAGAATCGAAACCACGCCACTTGACTCAATGACAGACCTTATGATACAGTGCGCACGTGCTAACCATTTGGCCATCCCCCACCCCCTTAGATTTATAGGTGAATACTTTGAAGATGGAATCTGTCAAATGTTTTCACATAATTCTCCATTTTATTTAACAATGTTCCTTATTCTGGAAACCACGACCGACAATATTGGTTTAATGAAGCGATAATAGATTTACATTTCTTGCAATTACCATAAAATGATAACCTTATATACTCGTATCTCATAAACAGTCTACCAGTCTGACAGGTGCTTACATAAGAAATGAAATGAAATGGTGTTTAACGTCCTACTGTTCTGATCCGAATGGGCTAATGAAGACAGGCATACGTCATACAGTGTGCTATGAGGGAAATTTTCCCCTGACAGCAACACTACGACCTACTCTTATATCGAATTCAAAAAAGCAAGGGTCTTTTACGTGCACATCAATGTGTACAAGGGACCTCGGTGTTTCGCCCGATCCGAACGACTAGACAGCTATCCTTGTCAGGTCCTCCATCCTGCATCACTGACAAGGGGAAACCACGCCGGAAAATCTCGATACCGGGATCGAACCGGCGACCTCCAGACTAGCGAGCCAGGATCTTATTCACTTAGCCACCGTGGCTCCATTATCAAATATTTGTACTGATATAGGAACGAAGATTTAAATAACGATGTTATATTGTAAATATTCAACTGGCAGACCAATATGGCGTGACTCCTGATTGAGGTATGCTAATTAATGACGTATAGGAACAATGGACGGAGTGTTAATACCTTTAAATAGTTTTTACATGCCATCGTTGTATTAAACAAGAAACAAAACAACCTGAAATAAACAACAAAGCTAGAAACGTTTGGTCTAATTCTTGGATACCTTCGACATTTGATATCAGATGGTTAGTCAGTTGAGTTTCACGCGGTGGACATTTTGTTGATGAAATGAAATGGAGTTTAACATCCTACTGTTCTGCTCCTACTGGGCTAATGAAGACGGCAACACGCCATACAGTGTGCTATGAGATAAATTTTGCCCGGGCAGCGGCACTACGGCCTACTCTTATATCGAATTCCAACAGTCAAGGGATCATTTACGTGCAGGCCAATGTGTACATGGGACCTCAGATTTTCATCCCATTTGAACGACTAGACAGGTGTTCTTGTCAGGTCCTCCGTTCTGCATCACTGGCAAGGGGTGACCACGCCGGATATCTGGATGAACTTTCTCGGCCAATGCATGGATCGAACGCCCGACCTGCAGGCTAGCGAGCCAGCGTCTTACCCACTTAGCCACCGTGATCCCCCACATTTTGTTCAATCAGTGAGTATGTTCAGTTCATCTTAATCACTCCAGACTTTGATACAGCCGTGAACCAAGTTGTCCAGACAGCATTGTTTCTGCCTTCTGTTCTTCGAATTCCATCTGCCAGGGTTTTTTTTTGTCAACGCCAATATTTACAAGGGCCCTCGGTTTTTCGTCCCATCTGACCGACTAGACGCTTTATGTTACCAAGCTGACTACCCTGTGCCACTAACTAGTTTGGAATGTCCACCACGGGGATCGAACCTTGCATTCTCTGGTTATTGAATACGCAGTATACCCACAACCACGCCTTCTTTAAACAAATCTACGACCCAATATCGCATTCTCTCCACTGACAATATGTCTTTTACAGTATTGCGCATGCTGAATAGAATGTTTTCACGCTATAAATATCATACATTACACACTATTACAAGATAACACCCTTATTGAATGTGATTTTTATATTTTATATAAACTTGGAGGAGGACAATAAAACCCAGATACATGCTTATCTATCAATTTTAGGGTAATTTGAGGCACAGATATGATCAATTAAAACGTTTATCAACGAACAAAGACATTCTATTACACGGTTTCGCAATTTTTATTTGAAACCTGAAAGTATGTAAACAGCCATAAAAAAAGACTAACACGGTCTTAATGGTACCGGAAATACAGAAAGTGCTCGTTAAATAAAGTCAATAGCGCGTGCTGATTTCTATGGCAGATTTTGTTAATTCGTAATCGAGTTTGCCAAGTTCAGGTAAAGTTTATTTTGTCGTATTAATATCACAATCAACAATATTTTCCAAAGAGCCACGCCAACATCTATTGTAATTTGTCATTAAACCAATTAATTAGTAAAATAATTCTAGATTGTTTGGCTGGAGTAAGCAGTGGTTTGGAATTGCATGAATGGGTTGAAGATAGAATGAACCTCGGTTTGAATGTGGACAGCCAATAAAACGCATGCTTGTCTCGCAACATATCAACCAATGAGAGTAGCGGATCGATGCATCGTGGGTAGTGGTTTATGATATAAGACCTCCCCGATACCTGGTCCTATGAGTTAATGCCGAGAGGACTTACTAATATCGATCACCTTGTTATAGATCAGTCTGTTATTCTACTAAGTTTATTAGTTCGCCTTAAATAAGCCGGTTCACTCCTTCCTATACTACTTGTCTTTAATGTAATAGCTCTGGTTCCATCTGATTATTGCCAGACCGTTTACACAGACACAGGTAAGACATGTTTATTTTTTTTAAAAACTTTAGTTATGCAATAGAAATTCTAATGTCATTGTTAAATATGTTTAAAATACTTTTTGTTATTAGATCGTATTATATATGTATGGCAAAGGTACCTTTTACCACTTTCTTCTGAAACAAAATGAGGACTTTTTGATCGGCGTGGTTTAAAATTGAATTCAGAGAATCACTAGAAGGCGATTAGCTAAGACATTGCCCAATTCTAATCTCAAACCATTTTGGCACTGAATTGTAATCTATATAATATAATCTCAAAACTTTCTGTGATTGAATAGTAATCTATGTTTGACAAAGTTACAACATTCTCCTGAAACAAAACACATGGTTATTTGATCTATTTGGTTTGGTATTTAATACCCGGTAAATAAAGGAACGTGATTGGTTATGCATTGAATAATTCCAACCTCAAAACGACCCTAAGCTCGCAGAATCATCGAAACTTCAAGCATGTTTCTAACAATTTCCTATGTGTTATGTGTCTTGCGTGGTTCCCCCTTGTCAGTGATGCAGGACGGAGGGCCTGACAATGACAGCTGTCTAGTCGTTCGGATGGGACGAAAAACCGAGGTCCCGTGTATATATTGGAATGAACGTAAAAGATCCCCTGGCAGTTGGAATTCGTTATAAGAGTAGGCGATAGTGCCGCTGCCCGGGCAAAATTTCCCATATGCCCGTCTTCATTAGCCCAGCATAGGAGCAGAACAGTAGGACGTTAAACCCCATTTCATTTCATTTCATTTTGTTATGTGTTCTTCTGGGATTATATTTTGTTATCATATGAGGTGCGGTTCTTTTACATTTACTATTAGATTAAGATATCACACTTTTATATGAACGTTCGTTAAGCACCAAACAAATTATTAAAGGCGTGTGTCTGCAAACTTCGAAGTAATCCGCGTATATGTCAGAGATTGATAGCAAAATTGATCATGGTCCATGTCACTACATAATCAAATTATGTCAAATCCAAAATTAATGAAAGAATGCCAACAAATCGCAAGCTACTCTTTAAATATATTATATTCTCTCCTTTTTGGGGAGGTTGGGTCGTCTAGCGCGTGCGTTTTAGATCATTAGATCTGTCATTGAGTCTAGTATCTCAATATTTACGTGAGTAGGATCGCCAGTTCAACCTCGTTTTGTTTTCGATCCTGTGGTTTCCATTCGCAGCTCCTACAAATATGCGCAAGCGGGCGCAAGCGAAGTATTGAAATAAAATTGTACCAAATATTTGTCCCGAATAGACGTTCAAAAGCATTACCCCCCCCCTCTCTCTCTCTCTCTCTCCGTTCCCCTCTTTTTAATTGTTACATTCGGTACCGCCAGGTTTCAACTACCGCAAAGCAACTGAAACCATCTACTGGAAATTATAGAATAATAGAGTACTGGTTTATTAAACTGCATGCAAGACACAGTATTCTCAACATAAACAATAGTTTCCATTTTCGCAATTTTTAAAACATTTTAATACCGACAACATTTTAACAATTGTAAATAAAATAAGTCGTGTAGAACTTCTTTTCATGTGGAACCTCATATGGAGACATGGTACTATGGTTGGGTTTCTTGAAGTTATTATTAAGTTATTTGATCGCAGCTCGACCATGGAAAGTATCTGTTCTATAACAGAATGTGTAGAACTTTTTAGATTCAATATTCTGATTTGCTTCATAAAACAAGAATATATTCACAAACTATAAACATACCTTTGGAAAACAGCTACTGATTTATTTAGGCGACGTTTCGAAGAGTAATCTCTCAACGTTTTCAAGCTAATACAATATAACAAAATTTGAAGCAACATATATATATAGACAAACTTAAAATAACAAGGTTCAAACCAATTCTGTAATTGTGTATCTATAAAAAAATTTAATGAAATGAAATAATGTTTAACGTTCTTCTGTTCTTCACCAACTGGGCTATTAGGAACATTTGATCCGGACAACGGCTCCACAGCCTACCCGTCTTTGAATTTCATCTGTTAAGCGTTCTGTGAGCCGCGGTGGTTCAGTAAGCCCGAAGCTGGTCCGCTAGGTTTCGGTCAGGTTCGCCCCCGGTGTTGGCCGAGAAAGTTGCTCGGGTTTTTTCCGGCGTTGTTACCCCCTGTGAGCGATGCAGAACGAGGGCCTTACTAGGACAGCTGTCTGGTCGTTCGGATGGGAAGAAAAACCGAGGTGTACATAATGGTGAGTGCGTAAAAGAGCCCTTGACAGGTGGAATTCGATATAATAGTAGGTCGTAGGGCCGCTGTTCGGGCAGAATGTTCCTGATAGCACACGGCATGTTGTATGCCAAGAGAATTTTTTGGACAGTGGTTGTACAGTAAGATTATAGTGTTGAAAACCGCAGTGACGGGTGTCGTACACGCGGTTAGACATGCTTGCGCCTTCTAGAGCTTCTCATATTAATTGTATTGTTCAGTATTAGCCATCTCCTCAGATATTCATTTAAACTCTTTTTATGTCATTTTAATACATTTTTCTAATTGTTATAAATATATTAAATCATGGTGTATATCTTCTACGGAATGTTTTTATTATACATGATTTTAAAAATAAATTAGTTTTAATTTATTTAAACATCAGTCAATTCTGAGCAGATTACAGGAAACCAAATATGAGAAGCGTGAAAAATAAACGTTACCATAACTACATAATTGACATACATAAAATGCCAATAACTTCAACCACACAAACTACCTCGAAGACCACATATCTCGATAGGTCAAGGAAGATGACGTATCTCGATAGGTCGACGAAGATCACATATCTCGATAGGTCGACGAAGACTACATATCTCGATAGGTCGGCGAAGTAAAATTTTGGACTATTATCAGAATCTATCCTTTTTTCTAACAGCCATAACGATTGTTCGCGGTACGTGCAGTATAGGCAATGATGGTCAAATGAATACAATGAGGCTTGACATCCTCCTTTTCTATACAAACTGAGCTTATGAAGACGGGCATGTGCCATGCTCTATGCTATGAGATAAATTTTGCTTGAGCCTACTTGTACGTTGATTTCCAACCGCCAGGGGATCTTTTACGTGCATAGATTGAAGACTAGAGGCGTTTCTCGCTAAACTCTCCTCCATGACAAGACGAATACAGGCTGTAAAATCCTGCAGAACTCTCTCGAGTCAGCGCCGCGAAGGTGGTCTTACCACGAGCTGATTTGAATCTCTCCAAAGACAAAAGGAACGGTCGCTTGGTTAGCGCGCGTTGTATCATACGGTCTGTCATTGAGTCAACTGGCGTGGTTTCGATTCCCCAGCTGTAAGTGACAAGGAGTAGGGTCGCCTGTCCAACCTTGTGGGTTTTCTCCGGGTCCTCCGGTTTCCACCCATTGCTAAAGACCCCTACGCGCAAGCCAATTAATAAAATAAAATTCAACCACGTCAGTCCCGAAATAACCTGGTTTGTGTCGAGTGGACGTTAAACGTCATCCCCTCTCTCTCTCTCTCTCTCTCTCTCTCTCCCACACACAAAATATAAACGCCGATATAGAGTACTGGCTAACTGCGGCTACCCCCACCTTCCACCTCTTTGTACAAATGATACGAACTGTCGCGTATGTCCACAACTAACATACAGTTTTCTTTTTCTATCGTCAAAGTTGAACAATTTGTTTTGTTGTTAGCAGCCTTTCCGTTTATTCTTTAACATATTCCAACGTGTATGTCAACGTGTAAACGGGCGGATCTCGGTGTTTCGTGCCATCCGAGAAACAAGAAAACGTTCACGTGTCAGTCCCGCTGGCTCCATACCGTAGACGTGGTGACAGAAGCAAGTTGGGGAAAATGTCAGGATAGCGTTCAACCTTTATAAAAGTGTCTCTTTTTTCAGTTTTTAAGCTTGCAATCTTCTTTGCCTTAAGCTTGAACTATTAATGGGAAATGAAGTTTAAAAAATTAGGACCGTTATGTTGAAATCGTCAGAGCCATGATCATATTCCAGAAAAAAATTAAGATGTAAGAAATTCTTTTCAATAACGATTACATCCCCATTATCACATATCTATATGACGTATTATAGTCGCACACGGTTGACAAAATAGTTATATTCATCTAACTGATGTTTTTTTTTTTCATTTTTAAAATATGTTTTGTATTTGTCATTCAATTTGAAAGTGAGAGTACGTCAGTAAAATCGAACATTTCTACAAAAAAAAAAGAGAAGTGGCGTTTTGTAAGAAATGTGACAATTGACCGGGAAACGATTCACTAGTCACAATAAGAGACGCGGTACATTTATAACACCACGCTACTTGTTATCCAATGCCTTGAATTAAAAGAAAAAAATCCTTGAAGAAATGTGAATTTACCGAGTCGTTTTTAATGAGGGCAAATCAAGTAGTTTATGGAAAGCCGTTCAACTTGTGTACAAGTGCTGACATACGACACTGTTGATTGTAGACCAGGCTACTTGAAGCAAGAGTCGATGAGAATCCACTAGAATTGCTGACATGATTAATGAACTCTTCTATTGATACACTGATATCTACGTTTAGTTTTACGCAACCGTTATCAACTTTCCGTTTCTGTTGAAGAAAGATGTTGCTGAGAGCTTTGAGTCTGGTGTAACCCAAATCCACTTCCTCTCTCGTTCAACTAAAAGGTTGCCGAGAGCTTTGCGACTGGTGTAATCCAAATCTACTTCTCCGTAGGGTTTAACGTCCTACTTTTCCGAGATAATAGACAGGCACACGCCATACAGTAAGCTCTGAGTGACAGCACCGCTACGGCATACTCGTATATCGAATTCCAACTGTCAAAGATTCTGCTACGTGCTCGTCAATGTATACACGGGAACTCGATGTTTCCTCCCACCTGTATCACTGACAATTATATAATATATATAATGAATTTGAGTACATGTTAACTTCAATTAAGTCGTGAAATTTAGTTATTTCACAACAAGAGAGCTTTGAGTTTAACTTAACCCAAATCTACTTTCCTCGGTAGAGTAT